AGTGGCGCTATACAGTAACGGTGCAGTTAACGTTACTGTATAGCGCCACTATTTGTGGCGTTATATATAGTTTGGTAACTTTTTTTTTAACACTTATTTGCGTATTTTGAGTAAAAAAAAAAACCACATTTTAGTTCCGGATTCGCAATAACAAATGCTTATCATTGGGAACATCATTTTCCAAGCAAATACACTCAACTAATTTATAAGCACATAGGAAATTTCAGCTACAATAGATTTCATGTTTGTTTTGTTCGTGAGTTTCTTTTTTTTTTTTTTTTGCAAATCATTATAGCTTTTTCTTATGCCATTTCATTTCATTTCAATGTTTGCTTTATGGTTTGGATTGGCTTATTTTGTTAAAAAGTTTTGATTTTGGGGCTATCTTATCCAAGATTTTTGATCTGATTCCTGTTTGGCGCAAATTTAAATTTGAATCCGCGGTGTTCTTTCCATTTCTTTGAAATAAGTCGCTTCTAAAGGGTAAATATCTACAAAGTTACAGTCTTGATTGGTCACTAATTACTCTTGCATAAGCTATTATAAAGATATTGGCACCATTGGTTTGACAAAAGATAAGTTTTTTGGTAAGACCAGATTAAGTTCTCCTAAAGGTAATTTATGCCTAAATTCATCGGCTTAACCATTAGTGGCAGGAAGGTGGTATAATTAATTCTTGGTGCATAAATAACCGTGCTTGAGTTAAACCTTTGTTCTAGTAGCAGAGGAAGTCGAAATTTTCATTAGCTAAACTAGTCAGTATTAAAGAGTGTAAAAGTTGTGTACTTACTCGGCCTAAATTATCCACTGAAGTTTACCAAGGTTGACCATCTTTAAGGTAAGCAGATAGGTGTAAACTCATGGCTATGTTAACGTCCAAGACAAGGAACAAGAAGCCTATTCTACTCTCGTAACATCGCCGTTGCAATTCTAAGGGAGTACGGTGTGATCTTTCTCAAGAATATCATACGGATTTTCCCTATTCCAGGTATATCAAGGCTATCCCTTCTTTCTTTTGGCATGATCCAAGTAACGATACATAAACGTAATGATATTCCATAAGTGGTTCTACTCTTAGCAGTTAAGGATGTCTATGTTATTCATTCTCGTAAAGTGATATTCAAGCATGTCTAAGTATGTATCTAGTTCCTTATTGAGGTATTTGATAAAGATGTTAATGTTTATAATATAGTAATACATGCATTTTCATACATATGCATTTACCACCGAGCTACAGCCGGTTGGGTAGTTACATATTTACCACCGTGCTACGGCCGGTTAGGCAGTCATGCATATTCATTTACCATCATGCTATGGCTGGTTGGGCAGACATGCATTTACCATCGTGCTACGGCCGGTTGAGCAGTTACCACCTGTTGGGCAGTTATGTATCATTATTTACCACCGGTTGGACAGTCATACATTTACCACCGTGCGAAGACCAGTCGGGCAGTTACCACTGATCAGTTGGGTAGTCATGCATCATACGATATGAATAATAGTCTCAAAGAAAAGTATTATATATATGTAACTATAATAAGTATGCATATACGGTGTTACTTCAGAGATTCAGGTTGATTCTTATATGTCTTTAAATAAATGTTGAATTATGGTTATCTTTCAGTTCTGCCTTACATACTCAGTGCATTATTCGTACTGACGGCCTTTTGTTGGGGACGCTGCATTCATGCCTGCAGGTATAGATAATCAGTTTGATGAGCCCTTATAGTAGATGAGATTAGCATTCAGCGAAGGATCGGTAAGACTCCACCTCATTCGGAGAGCAACCAAGTCTATGAGTCATCATGTCAGAATTTTGCTACAGATTTAGTGGTAGGCCGGTACTCTGTCCTATTTGATATCCCATAATCTTAGAGACTTTGTAGACAAAGGTTCATTTTGTACTGTATGTTAGAGGCCTTGACAGCCCATATGTATTCAGGTTTTAAGAATGATAGTTTATTGATACAGTGTTCGCCCACTTACAATTATGCACTACAAGATGTGTCCATATTGGCCCATGATAGTTGGAAGAAAACAAATGATGAGCTACAGAGTGGTTCGCTCCGGCTAGCTCAGCACCGAGTGCCAGTCACGACTCCCCAGGTTTGGGGCGTGACTACACCCTCATCCTACTACCAGGGCAGCATTCCATCTCTTCTAAATGCTACTAGTCTTAGATTCCTTTGAGTTCATTCAGGCTATACTGAGCTTTCTATAACTTAGAGAAACTATTAGCTCTTTTGTTTTCCTGGGCTTAATCCCGAGGACTATCCATTTCTCGTCACTTTCTCACTTGCCCTTTCTTGTCCTTACTCCTGTCTTCCTAAAATCTTGTCGCTTTGACATACTTTAGCTTGCGACCTATACATGTCTATTTATAATACTTACACCCTTTCTTCAACTTGCTTGCGCCATAGATTTCCTTATGTTATTCTGGAATATCAAACGAGGCATCACATCGTCTCTAACTCTTCTTTACTCTTTTAACTAGACCTTTTGATATCTGAAAACCATAGGCTGGAAGATATGCCACTACTGACGCTGCTATCATTCCTAGATACTGAATCCCAATACT